TTTCCTCCTTAATGCCTTTCCTCCCCCATGCTTTGTTCCTTCTCATTGGCATTCCTAGATGGCTATCTTAGTTCACCAACATCTTTGTTCAGCATTTTCATAATCTTTGCAGACAGGTCGATAACCGTTTCCTACAAACCTTTTGCTAAATAACAACCCTTTAAATCTTGTGAATGAGATGTGTCTTGTTCAGAGGGCAAGGAAGTTGGTCAGGAAGTGGGATCATTCACATGCTAAGGGTAACATCTGAGTTAAAAAATAAGTTGGTATCAAGAAAACTCTTAATACATCTTCATTTGCTTTTGAAGATACTAATGTGGCTCCTCAAGAACAATAATATTTGAGCATCTCTCTCATATTGTGCTGTCTTCATGCTTGATTCTTAATCTTTGTGCGAAGGAAGGATGTAAAGAAGGTCCCTGTTCTGCTTTTATGTGCTGCCCAGCATGAGCAATGTGAAACAAAACCGAACAAAAAGTGGTAGATAAAGAACATCTATGGTAGAGAGAAAGCTTTGGGGGGTTTTATGCTTTGACTTTCACTCTGTTTTGTAAACAAAGATGTGTAAAAATAGAAGAAATCTGCAGCTAGATGGGCAGGGACAAAAAGGCTGGTTTGTATTTATATATAAATCCGTGGCTGCTGTTACTTTACTGTCAAAATACACAGCCCGAGTATTTTAAAGTGAGATAAATAGAGAATTCATTATCTATATTTTCTATTTACATATTTTTGTGTGTGTTTGATAGTTAATATCAGCCTGGATTTATATGACTGAAGCAATGAACCGTGAACAGTTGTAAACTGCTGCAGTTTGGCCGCAAGAGCATAAGTAGGATTATGCCCCAGATTTAAAAGGTGATTACACTGCTTTCTTACTACCACTTTGTGGAAGGTTACTACCCTATTCCTAACATATGGTTAGGGATTGCAGTCATATGCTGCATCCATTTCTATGCAAAATTAGGTGTAGTGGTGTTTTAAGCAGAAGCCATGAGGTATGGAGTAATCTTCAGTTATTTAGCTGTGCAAAACATGTCTGTGTCTTTGGACTCCGGTAATGACAGAAGCACAGTACTTTCTCTAGAGGTTATCTTTTTGCCCAAAGTCCCTCTGATGAAAATTTGAAAATTCTATCTCTGCATCTGTCAGGGAATGCTGAACACTACTCACCGTTAAGTCCACTTTGACGAAGAAAAGGGGGTTGGGGACCCTGACTATGGGGCACAGGTTTTGGGGGTGTGATGGGTTGGATCCATGCCCATGACCTCTTGAGCTATTCACTAAAAATACAGAGTGTGCTTGCTTTCTTTGCTCTAACAAAATCGGATCTAGACTGTATTGCATCCTTGGTGGCTGTGCTTTCTTGCCGGAAAATCAGTAGTTTCTTTTTGTGACCTTTTTTGGTGCCTTTAAGTGCCCATAATATGTAAAGACAAATTACACCAGTTGAAGAAGATAATAATATATTAATTTCTCCAACATGTCTCTAACAAAATCTCTGCTTACTTTATCGGGAATTGCCCAGAAGAGTCGTTTCTTCCTACCACCTCTGAACCAAGACTTTTACTACAATAAAGAAAGCATTACAAACAAAAAACCCCATTTCCATGTCATAAAATCACAGAGTGGTTTGATTTGGAAGGGACCTTAAAGACCATCTACTTCCAACCCCCTGCCATGGGCAGGGACACCTTCCACTAGACCAGGTTGCTCCAAGCCCCATCCAGCCTGGCCTTGAACACTGCCAGGGAGGGGGCAGCCACAGCTGCTCTGGGCAACCTGTGCCAGTGCCTCACCACCCTCACAGTCCAGAATTTCTTCCCAGTATCTCATCTAAATCTCCCCTCTTTCAGTTTGAAACCATTACCCCTCATCCTATCACTACACTCCCTGGTAGAGAGTCCCTCCCCACCTTTCTTGTAGGCCCCCTTTAAGCACTGTAAGGCCACATCTGCCTGTTTTGCATGTTAAACCTGCCTGCAAAAATCCCCATTGTTTTTCTAGTAGTTATTCACTGTAGATGTTTGTGATGAGTACATGACTCTTGGTCACCTGTCTGTAATGACAGTCTTGGTCTCTGAAGTGTACTTACTGCAGCTGCATAGTGAGAAGACCTGTGGTGATTCTTATGGGGAACTTTCGTTTTGTTAACAGTGGAAACATTTTGCAGTAAAAAATCAGTGGCTGCTTTAGGATTCAGGAAGAGATGAGCCAGGAAGAAAAGCACATGGAGCTGTTCTGTCTAGTTACGACTGAAATATTTGGTGCCTACGCTGTCGGCTCGGCTAAAGTTTATGAGGCACAATTGTGCATAAAGCTTGTCTTTGAGGAAAGATAAGTTAGAGAGGCAAAAGACTTTGTGTCCTATGTTACGCTTTGCTTTGTATTCCTCTGTATTTTGTACTGATCCATGTATCTTGAATAATAGGTGCGTTAAGTAGGATGACTTAGTCATTTTCTATAGCAGAGGATGTAGTGTATCATCTTTAAAAAGGATTATGCTTTCCAACACCTTCAGTCACAGAATTTCAGGCGCTAAGGTCACATAAAGGTATTCAAAAGATAACAAAAACATCACACCGTGACTCTCCCCACCCCTCACTGAGCAAACAGCAGAGTGTGGTCTCTACCTGCTACGCCAAAGAAAAAAGACCAGATGTAGCTGTGGATCTGCAGGTGCACAGAAAGAGATGGATTCAAAATATATAAATAAATATAGATAAAAGGCTGGGTTATTTCAGAAACTTCAGCTGCTTCATGGGGGTGATCCTATGCATCATGATCATGGGAAGCAAAAGCTGCAAAAAAGAGTTATCATAAGCATGGTATTGGATCATTGCCCCAGTTGGAGACTTCATGTGGAAGGACAGAAGGTGTCTCCTCTGTGTGTATGCAGTTTTTAAACGGTTATGTGTTCCCCTGGAAAACTTTCAGGGTGTATGAACCAAAACAGTTCCAAGCGCACTGTTTTATACATTTGTAAAATCTATGCGTGTAGTGTGGTATCCCATTTCACCTATTATACTGTAGATTATTTTTGATATTCCATGCCTAGGATTTCTGTATTCGTAACTACTTTGTCTGCTTCAAATAAAGTAATTCTCCAGCTTTTCTTTGAGGTAGAATGGCTGTGAATGGGGTCTTACAGCGTAGATTGCTGTATGATGTTGGTTTCTTTGCCACAGCGATGTATTGCCCCAGAGTGGAGTTTCTGGGAGCAGAATGGAACAAAGGTAGCTTATTTTACAAGCGTGACATCACTCTGAAGAGTCGTGAGAAACAAGATTGTTTATGTAAAATAGTCCTGGCTATTAAATTATCAGAATTTAAATTATAAGATTAAATACCTATAATTCCATGTAAATCTGTTGGAATTTGAATGTTTTTCCAAATTTTTTTCATTTGAATGCTCTCCTAGTTTGAATTGCCTAGTAGTCACTTTTTGATTATCCAGCTGTGTCTCTGAAAATGAGAGAAAAAGCATTTCCAGTGCCTTGAAGACTTGAATTGCAGACCTTTCAACAGAGCAAAATGCATTAATTAATAAGGTGTATGTGGACTTCTAACAGTCTTTATCTCTCTCTCTCCCTCCCTCTCTCTCTCTCTCTCTCTCTCTGTTTATCATACTCTTGTTTCCCCTGATTGAGGTATGGATGAATGTTTTAAGTGATTGCGTACTGTAGCATCCTAGCCAGTATCAGCATATTGCATTTGCAGCATGAAGGTCTGTGACAGCAGGTAGAGGGGTCGTTGTATGAACTTCGAGTAGCTGGGTTTGTGTGGGTTACCTAAGAGGTGGTTGGCACCTGTGTTCCCCCAGAGCTCGGGCACACATTCTGCTTTAAGAGGAAAAAAGTCTGCTCTTCATTTGTGGATCACTAAAGTCATTCTTTTGTGCTGAAGGCGTATGATCCTTCTTATTTGTTCTGGAAAAAAGCCCAGAAAATTTAATCTATGTTATCCGTATCCGCAAAACAATGGAAATAGTAGTACGCAAAAATGAATAAATCTGTTCTCAGTAGAATTCAAGCTAGAGGGGTGACTCTACAGAAAAAAACAAACTTGGAAATTAGTTTTATTAGTAGAATAAATTTTGTGATTGAGAGATAGATGATTATTTTTTTTTAAAGGAACATACAGATAAATTTTCTGGAACTCTCTGTGAGAAAATTTTGACCAAAAAAATATTTTCTGACAACTTAAAACAGTCAGAATGAATGCCTTTTAATAACCTATGATGCCGGTTGAGTTTCTAAATGTTTGCGGCTCCTGATGTGTGGGGCACTGTGTCACTGAAGAGCCACGGCATCTGGCTGCTGCATCCACCTTAGTGCAGCTTGCTCAATCCCCCATAGCCTGATGTTTGGGTGAGGTTGCATCTTTCACACGGGGAGGTACCCATGAATGTATATATACATGTATAGCTGTGCATGCATATATAGGTGTGCCAGTATATGTCTGTGCATACACACACTGCTAGATCAGTGTCAGTGGGCTTAGCTCAAGCCTTTCAAGCTTCTTTTTGACAACATACACATCAGTCTGAAGAACACCATCTTAAGCTCTCATGAGGTGTTGATACTCATCGGACATTATATTTTCCATTCATTTATTGCATATTAGAGGTAACAGACACTGTCAAGCAACAGCAACTCATTCATTTTAGAAAAGTAGCAAAGCCATGTTGTGCCCCACTGCTTGAGAAGCAGGTGTCATGGAAATCTCTGCTGTGTTTAATTGTGAGACTGCGTGTTTTTCTGCAGAGTTTCCTTCTGTTGATCTGTCTCCTGTGAATATTTTTTAAAACTTTGGCACTTTCCCCTTGTGTGCTAGTTTTGTGCGGTGGTAATGGAATTGAGAGCCGAGAGAGACTGTGAATGGCAAAGAGTCTTCCTAATGAGGAAGGAGTGATCGGGTAGAGTTTGAAAAAAACAATTGTGAATGTGTCTATAATTTTTTTTGAACTTCAGAACTGAACTCTTAATTATGTTTTGCAGGATATGAATGACTACTCCCCAGTATTTAGCAAAAAGCTCTACAGGGGAATGGTTGCTCCTGATGCAGTCAAGGGCACCGTTATCACTACTGTTTCAGCTGAGGATCAAGATCCTCCGGTAAGCAAAAAAGGTTCCATTATTACTCTGCATCCAAGAGGGAAAAATCTGTAACTCTCATAAGTGACCTAACTCTCTCAACAACAAAGGTGATTATTATGAGTTTCACAGAGCAGTAACTCATACATTTTGTATGACAGCCTGTCCTTTGTTGTTCTGGACAGGGGCTGCATTTGCAATGATTGTTCCTGAAGCTGGGAAATCAATGATACAGCTCCTTTCTGTCAGGAAGATTTTTGGAGAGCTCTTTATCCGACTTCACAGTATAGATGAAAGAGGACTAGGCAGGAAGGGAAGCTGTGCCTGTCTTTGGTACAGTTCTGCAGCTAAAAGAGGAAACAAAACACAACTTTGTAAGATTGTTGCTTTCTTGATTTTGTAGTCATTGTGCATTTCCAGTCTGAGACATCACAGGGTCACATGGAACTGTACAGTTCATCAGCCAGCCCTATTGAATGTGCAGTATTTGAACCAAGTGCACCCGTTTGGGGGCTAAAGTTTATTTTTGCCACTGGCTTTTATCGCTGTTCCCTGTTGAAGCACTCGATTGACAGAACTGGGCACATATTTTTGACTTGTTAGCTATTCTGAAGGGTACTATCAATTTTTGTAATCAGTGGTTGTTGATGAACATTGGTGACCAGATGATACACTGAGGACAATAAAAGCCAAAGATGTTCTGCCAGCCAGGGTTAATTTTTAATTGTTAGTGTTTGGCATATTAAGGAGAATAATCCTCAGGGAGAAGAGTTCAGAGAGAACGTGCTACACACTTTAAAAGCTGACGGCAGCGCTTTGACACAAATCAACTGTAGCTTAGGTAATATGCTACATAGTAATTTATTTACAACACAAGGACAGAAAAGCTAGAGCAGTGTTTCTGTAAGGACAGGACAGCGGTAAGTAAATTCCCTGCAGCTAATACATATCAGTGGGTATTACTGAACTTGGAAGCATTTAAGGTAGTTTATAACAGCTGAAGATCTGGACTACTGTTTGTTTAAAGGATGTGAAGGACACTAGCACCATTGAGTAGGTAATGAGTAGCAGTAGTTAGCAATTAATAGTGCTACAGAGTATTTAAGGAATGCGGCATTGGAGGACATACACGTAATTTGAGCAGTAAACAAAAGAAATGGAGAGAGGTGCGCCTTAATGGCTAGTCTGGGACAATTTGAAGGGGAGTATAAGAGACATTGGTGCCTGATTTTGAATGCTCTGCTTGCAGAATGGAGCCCAAGGTGTGTGTTAAGCTCCTTCCATAGAGCACAGGCACATCAGAATAACGTCCTGACCAGCCAACATGTTAATCACAAGTCTGCTTAATTAAAAGCAGACTAGTCAACACATGTGTGCATTAGACTGATCAGCAGAGGAAATGGGAATTTCTAGTGTCTTACTGTAGAGAAGCTTTTAAAAATGCATAGCCTAGGACTGTTCTCTTCGTGGCAGGCACCTTCACTCTCTTTCAAAGACACATAGCTTTTAGCATGCAGCAGGAGAAAGAATGTGTAGTGGTAGTGCCTGCTCTCCTCCCTTTGCATCTTGTTATATTAGTCTTGCTAGGGAAAGCCTTCCCATGGGATGTCGGGAGGGCTAGGCTGCCCTCCCTCCACTGACTGAAGGATTCGAACCTTAGGCTCTGTTTCCATGTAAAATATCTTCACTACCAAGAAGGAGACTGGCCAGACAAACTTGAGGTATATCTGCAGGTGTGTGGAGGTCTTCCAAGCCAGGAAGTTGCTATAAAGGTAACAAGCTGAAGCACCTGTGAAGGTCAGGGACATGCAAGGCTAACCAGACTTCTACATGCGTCACCTGGTCCTTTTCTAGACTTGAACCCTTATGCCTAAGCAAGAGGAGATATCTCTAGTAGCTCTGTAGAAGTCTAAAATGTAGAACTGCCTGCTGTAGCCTTTCAGAGAGCTTCATAGGTGTTCACATTTTTGTGGCCTACCTACACTCTTGCTCCCACTGCCTTTTTGCTCTGTGGAAGCTAGTCCTTTTGTCTGACCTCTTTCACTGTTCCTTGGGGCACACCAGGCCTAGGTTTCCACCATCATCTTAGTCACTGTTTAAAACGGTGATTTGCAGAGGAAAGTAAGCTTGGTTGCTCAGATCTCATAGTTATTTGCTGTAAAACAATTTTTAAGTTGATATAAGACTAATTGATTCTACTCTGTGAATGACTTACTATCACGTTTCTTGAATGTCTTATTCTTCCATATGTTAGGTGCGATAACCTGGGGATTACAGAATGGAAATTGAGATCAAAGTGGGCAAAATCTCTGGGTGGCATTAGAAGCCTGCAAGGCTTGTGTTCACACTATATATTGCACAAAGGTATTACCTCATTTCAGTAGCATTTTTTCCTGAGTAAAACACTGTACTACTGGAGTACTACCACCAAAGTAGTAAACCTTGCCTTCACATAAATGGGTCTGAATTGCATTCAGCATTTTGGGGAGTTCAACAGATGCTGCTTAGCTGGAGAAGTTTCTCTGTTGCTCTGCCTAGGAATGACTTGGGAATGAGGGAGGTAGGAAACACCATTTCTGTTAAAGAGCTCTCGTCCCCAGCAGTTAGCAGCAAGTAATTCAAAATGAAACACTGCCCGCTTCAGAGTGATATGCCAGTGGAGGGTGGGGAAAACTGGCTGTGCATGACTGTTGAAGATGTGCAACTTTTCGATTGCCACAGTAGAAATCTGAAATATTAAGTTCAGTAGTTGCAGTCCTATGGACCTGTCTCTGCCCCTTGCACCAGTACGTATTTGCTCCTAGCAGGTTTATCATACTGACCTTTGAGAAAAATCTGCAGAAAAGGATGTTAAGGATCAATGAAACTGGGCAAGAAGATGAATTTCTAGTCCATGGAAATGTCAACATAAATGGGTTAGTAAAGGATAGAAAGAAAAAGAATTGTTCATTGGTGCTAGAGAATCACTTTTTAACTTCGTTTTTGTGCAGCTTTTATTTAATGGTAACGGTTACCTTACAAGATATTTTGGTCTCAATGTTATTTGCCCGTTCTGATACAAGCTCCATTTTATAACCCCTGGATTTAATGTGTCTAAATTATAAAGAATAAGATAACACTGAGATACTGGAGTAAACAACATAGTTCAGAAACTGGTTAACATATATTTATAATAAATCTTAGTCCTTAGTGGAATCAGCATTTCCTGATGCAAAGTTTTTTCACTTTTTCATTTAAAAAAACCCAAACCCTTATAAACTCTCTTGTGATTTCCTCATGTATTTACATGGATTTCTTTCATATGATTTTGAAAGATGTGGGGATCGCTTCGACTTCTGTGGAGAAATCAATGCACATGCATGAAGGAGAGATTAAAATTAATGATGTGGGATCCTGTTTATTGCCATTCTAACAGGCATAAATGTATATCACAGTAATGTTAAGATAATGTTCTTCAAAATCAGCTGTTGCATTTCTTTGATTTTTATGAAGACTTTAAAATGAAGCTACCCATAGGCATTTAATGAATATCCACAGAAGTTAGCCAACTGTGGAGGAAAGCATTTAAAATAGTTTTTGAAAGTTGGTATTTTATTTCAAACTAATGGCTGATAGGTTTTACTTTTTAAATAGTAATTAAAAAAAAAGATAGAGAAAACCATCAGGCATAAATGGCTTTGTTTCTTTTTCTGACTGAGCCAACCTGTTTAGATGTCTTGTGCTACTGGCAAATCTGTATTTATTTGGAGTTGGCTTTGACATTAAGTGGTGTCACAAAGTATGTGGTATGAATTCACCAGAAATTGTTATAAAAAACACACAGCCTTTTCTCTGTTCAGCAAGAGTACTTTCCTCAAAACTTGCCGTAAGGGAAAGCATATTCCTAGTTACCATCATCAGTATTTTAGTTGTGTATTTTGGGGTTTTTAACCTGGTGGAATCTTATTTGCACAGTACTAGTACATCTGTTTTATCAGTACAGGAAAAGAAATATATATATCCATTAAGAAAATAATTGTCACTTTAAAATATGCCTGATTATCAGGGCAAGTCTAATAAAAGCCTAACTAATTTGAAGTATCCAAGCCTGATTTTTTGTTGTCGTTTTATGAGTAACGTAGACTATTTCCCTGTCAACATTAAACTTAGCCCAGAATAAAAGTCAAGCTAGATTTTTTTTCATCATCTGCAATAAAAGCTTTTCAGATCTAATCAGCTCTTCAGAGTCTGCCCACTGTCTTCAGCAAATCCCAACTTTGCTCTGCGTTGTCAAATTAATATGGATGGTATGAGAGTTCTAATTGAAATGCTCAGCACCTGCTTGTGATAAGGCAAATTTGAATTTTTCAACAGCAGAAGAGCAGATTTGGGGTAAGAAGGTATTGAATGGTGTCAGTGGAGTTCGGCTCTATTTCACCCCCTAGGCACCATCCTCAGCCCGTTCCACCTTTGAGCTGCTGGACTGGGGCTATTGTGGTCTTGCCCTGTTGTTCCTCCTGGTCCCTCAACAGCAAAGGTGACAGACAGCAGCAGTGTTGGACATGTAAGTGGTAGAAAAAAAATTTCGTCCCACTGAAGTCAGCTTTAAAAAATCATCATCTGTAGTGAAGGTTGCAGGTATTTTACCTGCTGTGTTACTTTTTGTCTCTGGAAGTGCTCAGCCAGTCATGTTCCTAAGAAAAACCATGGGTTTATGTGTGGCTCTTGACTTCTAAAGGACAAGTCATAAATATAAATGCAAGCATTAAATGGTCAGTGAAGGTGGCATGGGTACAAACAGTAATGCAGATGACTGGTGAGAGGTTGGAAGAAACCTGTGACATAAAAGAGTTTTCAGGTTTACAGTAGCAGTGTATTTCCTAAGTGATTTAGAAACTTGTAGCATGTGGGTGTGGAAGTGCCGTGAGTGACTATGATATGCTTTCAAAAACAGTCAGAAGGGGAGAGAGTGAACTGTTACTCTGAAATGAAGTACTGTTTGATTAATTTATTGGAGATGTAGACTAAAGGTTATCTGTTTT